TAGCTCAGGTCCCCCCCCCCCCCCCACAGCCTTCTGGGACTCGCTTCTTCCCATCAACCGTGAAGCCGGTCAACCAGTTGGGACTGGGTGGCTAGCTGCTGGGCAGAGAGGAGGCCACCTCTATGGCCCAGCGCGACCATCCAGTTGGCTTCCCCCCCGCCCCCATCCCATTGGCTTCCCAGTATGACCATCCTGTTGGCCTGGCCACCGCAGCCATTCAGCTGGGCTCCCAGAATGACCTTCTAACTGGGTTGGCCACCGCAGCCATTCAGCTGGGCTCCCAGAATGACCTTCTAACTGGGTTGGCCACCGCAGCCATTCAGCTGGGCTCCCAGAATGACCTTCTAACTGGGTTGGCCACCGCAGCCATTCAGCTGGGCTCCCAGAATGACCTTCTAACTGGGCCGGCCACCACAACCATCCAGTTGGGCTCCCAGAATGACCTTCTAACTGGGTTGGCCACCGCAGCCATCCAGTTGGGCTCCCAACGTGACCATCCCATTGGGTTGGCCACCACAAACATCCAGCTGCCTTCCCCTGAGCGCGGCCAAGAGGTTCTCCAACCCAGTGTCTCCTACCTCCGGAGGTTCTGCAGGGGCACGCAGACATCTCCCCAAGAACCATGCGATCCGTCTCTCCAGGAGAGGCTGGGCCATGGGCACCGTGTCAGGCCCCACGGTCCTCACTCTCCCATGGAGGTCTCCTCCCTTGGCCACCTGAGGCAACCGGGGGGCGGCCACGTGGGGAGGCTGGCCCAGAAGGACCTGAACTGCCCTCAAATTTGGCGACGGATGGTCGGGTCTGAAGAGAGGTCTCCTCCTCTCCCCGTTCCCACCAGCTCTGTGGACTGAGAGCTGGCCTGGACCAGAACAGGTTGGGCGGAGGGAGCAAACCAGTTTGAGGAGCCTGTGGCACTGGTGTGACTGGCCTGGGCAGGGGTACCCATGCGCTGAGCCCATGGGAGGACCACGGAGGCCACCGTCCCCGCACCCTGGGGGCTCAAGCCATCTCCTCGAGGTAGAAATGTGGACGTTCCTCCATGGGTTTGGTGGTCCGAGCTTCGCCCGGCCGAGTACCGACGCACGGGGAGGATCTGCCGGGAAAATGGGGAAGGAAATCCAAATTTTAGGGTTTAGTTGGGCGCGGCAGGGACCTGGAGAGCGGCCAGGACGTCTGGGTCCTCAGGTTGGAGCTGGTTCTTCTTCAGCTTGGGTTGGACCAGGGAGGACTCGCTTTTGCCTTGGCCGACTCTCTGGCTGACCTGCTGGGCAACTTTGGGCTCCGAGCCTCAGTTTCCCCATCTGGTTAAAAGATATTAATGATAGGAGGGGAAGCCTTTTGCCCTACTTCCCGGGAGCTCCTCCCAACCTCCACCACGTGGACCTTCCCTGGCATGTGCCACAGCCACCAGGGAACCTCACCGTGGTCCTTTCTCCACCCCGTTGCCCAGCCCCATCCCCATCCGCATGGGCGACCACAGCTTGAAGACCAAGGAGGGGACGGAGCAGTGCATCAACTCGGCCAAGCCCTTCTTCCACCCCAACTACAACCCCACCAGCCATGACAGTGACATCATGCTGCTGAAGCTCCAGAAGCCGGCCCGCTTCACCGAGCACATCTACCCCGTGGCCCTCCCCAGACGTTGTCCCCCACCCAACACCGAGTGCATCGTGTCGGGCTGGGGCAGCACCAGCAGCCCTGAAGGTAGGTGGAAACACCTCCTCGCACCACGCGGGGAGGTCCTCAAGGGACCCGGGGACATGTCAGCGTCTTGGGGACACGTCAGTGTCTTGGGGACATCTCGGCAGCTTGGGGACGTCTCCCCTGGGGGGGAGGCCTTGGGTCCATCGGCGGTCCCTGGGGTGGCTGCGGAGGTTTCCGTTCTCCGCCGAGTCCATGCCACGACCACCGGAGTCCAAATCACCTCCA